GACTAGAAAAATTTTTTAAAATCCTCTTCTTAGGAAGTTTAAATTATTTAAGCAATTTTACTATTATTAATTAAAATTAATCATTTTCTTGTTAAAAATGAGTCATTTTTCTTTGAATAGTTTCAGTAGCAATCATACTGGAATTAAAATTTTATATACTTTTTTGTCTCATATTTACATAATCAACATTTCCCATTTTTATTAATAGTACTACAATTTTAATGACTTCAAATTGTCCCCCACATTCTTATAGATGTACCACAGTATTTTTAGTCATTCCTCCATTGTTTGTATGTTTGTTTTCACTTATGGTTTGGTTTTGTTTTAAAATTGGAAAAATAATGCTGCAACAAACCTTTGAACACAAATTTTTGCACGCGTCTCTGCTTATTGCTTTAGAATGAAATCCTAGAAGTATCAGATTATCTTAAAGTAGTTTAAATATTAAAACTCAAAAAAATTATTTTTTGGTAGAACATTTTATAGATGCATGTGCTTATAATATCACTACTTATTTTCCTCTTGTTTTTGTAGCACCATTTTGAGGGTAATTTGCATGTGGAAAATAAATTTTTAGTGAAAGAGGAGCTTTCCTGGGATGATTTTATTTACAATATTTGCACCCATCAATTAAATGGTAAAGTGTCTTTCTTTTTTGCTGATTCTTTCTTTGAGAGGAGATGGCATGTGTAGTACATGAAATAGGAAGTGCCATTTGGCTAGGCAATGGGTTTGTGCTCCTGAGGGAGAGTCAGCAAATGTGGACAATTAGGAACTAGGAGAAAGAATGGTACATGCCAGGGACATTCATCAGTCATGGAATTTGTCCAACTGCAAGGATATAGCAGCCCACCCAGAACTCTGTGCAGGTGCTGCCCTTACCAGCATGACACCTCAAAGTTTTCATTGACTGTGTCAAAGATCAACACTTGGTTAATTAGTCACAATTTTCAGTATCTAAGTGTCAACCAGGGGTCTGCCTGTTCTCATGGAGAGATTACTGCTTAGAGGAAAGAAGAGCTGAGATCTGTCCCTACAGCTGGTAGACTTTGAGATGATTGTCAGGGGACTGAAGTGATTCAGCCATGGAGAGCAGCAGGCAGCAATTTCACTGACACTTTTTCATCTGTTCCTCTACTAAATGCTGCTGGCTGGTAGCAGAGACCTAAAAGGGAAGGCTGAGAGAGAACAATAGGGAAGGTAGGAAAGCTCTTTAAGTCATTTCCTTAGCTGAATTCAGATGAACCTTTCCTAAAGAACCACAGTGAGGGCCAGATCCTGCTGGCAGACAGCTTTTAATTGAAACACAAAAGCTTTCAGGGATTCTTTGGGATCAGAAACACAGGGCAAGTTCCACCCTGCCTCTACCTACCACTTCCATTTCGCATTCCTTTAATTCACGTATTCTTTTCCTCAGAGTGGGGTGGGAGACAGGGGAATGTATATTAGAAAATGCTAGAGCCACTATTTTCTCTGTGTTGTACTCAATTCTGAAAACAGTGGTTAATACTGTTAGGTTGTTTTCAAAGCTATTACTTCAAAGGTAAGGTTGATCCATAGAATACGTTTTTAAAATGTAACAGTGATTGAATTCCCCCACTTAAATGTCCTAAAACATTCCCTTTTCTCTGTTGGCAAGAGCAGTTTTCCTGTATCAAGCCAGATTCCTAAGGAATCCTTTAAAGTTTTCCCATTTAACCTCTCAATAAATATGTGGGTCCCTCATACCCTGTAACTAGCCAGCTACTCTTTGAATGAAGGACCCACCATCCCTTCCAAAGCAGTGCATCTCCAATTTGGACAGTTTGGTCTCATCTTTCATCCTTCAGGTGAACCACAATTTGAATACCTGAACTTTCTATGTTTTATTCTCATAACCACACAGAGCAAAACGGCTTCTACTTCAACATTGCATTCCTCAACACATTGTGGATTTCTAATGTGTCCTTTTTTGATTCTTCCCTTTCAAGTACAATCATTCTCAGTAGGTTTGTTTGTTCATTCATTTATCAAGTATTTATTTCCAATACTATATGTTAGACAAGGCACCAAAGAAACAGAAGAATACTACACAGTTCCTGCCATCTACAAACTTAGTTTGGAGGGATGATGGACTCAGAAATAGATAACTACAAAATAACATAGTGCATGACATAAGTGAGTATAGAAATCTATTAAAACTCAGAAACCAAAGAATGATCTACCCAGAGAGGAAGAGTTGAGATGATCATTTAACATTACTGGAGCAGATACCATCTGAGCCATATCTTAGAAAATTGGAAGAATTGGGTTAGTCAAGGGGGAGATGGAAAGTTTCTGGTAGAGAAAACAGAATGAGTAAAGGCCGAGAGATTAATTATAGTGATGTTTGTGCAAGAAAGAGCTAGCAGTTCAGTTCAGTGTTCTTGGGACTAAAGTGTGAAGCTAAAAATAAAGTAGACAAGATTAAGAGCTAGATCATGAATATCTTTCTCAAATGACAAAGTTTTGCTGCCCTCTCCAAACATATTGGCATTATAAGAAGAAAACATTTGAGTATCTCCTAATCTCTGCTTGCCTTCTTCCCTCCCCACATTAATCCAGAAATTATTATCCCCAAGATGCCAATTCCAGTAATATACTCCAGTTGATGTTCTTGGAACTCAACCCAAATTACATTGAAAATACTCATCTTCTCATTCTTTCCTTCCAAAACTTCTGGATCTTGGAGAACTGCCTCATAAGTCACCTAAATGCTGTCTCCATGGCTGCATAACTGACAATATAGTTAAGGTTATATAATATATGAGATGTGCTGAACATCAAATGCCAGACTGTCACTACCTTCTTTGCTATACTTTGAATATCCACAAAAGCAGAAATCATCTGACCTTAATATCTGTAGCCTTAGTTTAGAGTCAATTGCATAAGAGATACTCTACCAATATTAACACTCATTTGGTGTCAATACGTACCTGAAACCTAAAATGATTCCCATACACTCCACTCCCATAAACAGCATATTTAAGACACATCCCATCTAATTGTTCTTCTTGCTGTCTTTGTTCTAATTGTATGGCCTGTTTCTTAGACTGGCATACCCTTTCTCACCTAAGCGATTTTATGTGTGTTCCTACCTTCATCTCATTATGTCACTAAGTAACTGTGTTTGGGTCTCCTCTTAGCCACTTCCACACTTCTCCTTCATATGCCTTATAAACATATTTACTGCCCATAGCTCCAGAGCATAGTCTAATGCCAGGCACAGAGGTGATATTTAGTAATACTAAATACACTCATGATTGCATGCTTGCTGATATGTAATATCTCTGTTCAGTGAATGCTGGAATTTTTCATAGAGCAAGCAGAATTAGAGAAGATATTAGAAGTATAAAAACATGGTATTTTGGCCAGTTGTGGTGGCTCACACCTGACATCCCAGCACTTTGGGAGGTGAAGGTAGGAGGATTGTTTGAGTCAAGGAGTTTGTCACAAGCCAAAACAACACAGTGAGTCCTCATCTCTACAATAAAAAAAATTAGCCAGGCATGGTGTCATCCCAGCTACTCAGAATACTAAGGCAGGAGGATTCCCTGAGCCCAGGTGGTTGAGGCTGTGGTGAATTGTGATCGTACTTCACTCCAGCCTGGGCGACAGAGTGAGATCTTGATTCAAAAAAAAGAAAGAGAGAGAAAAAAAAGAGGACATGGAATTTTAGTTGTTGTGTCTGAATTATTTATTTCAACAATTCAACATAAATGTACAATAGTGCAAACAATCCTCAGCAATTCAATTGTATTAATTCAGTCAATAAAAATTGATAAATAACTACCTTGACATTTGCAATGTTTTAACTATTAAGATATATCTGATCTTACCTTGACATTAAACTTTCTAATTGAGTGCCCTAATTAATTTATCTGGATTAACTACTAAATTCATAGTCCTCAACTCTTTTTACTCAAGCCTGGAACTTAATCAAGTGATCATAAATTTAGTTAAGCTATATTTGTTGCAAGAGTATAGAGAGAAATTAAATATCCAGTGACAAGAGATTGGTTAAATAAGTAATGGTGTATGTCCTTGATAAAACATTATTTCACCATTAAAGGATAGTTATAAAGACTGTCTAGCTGTATAGAAAGGGCTTAAAATATAATGTGAATTGGAAAAAAACTAGAACACAGCTATGAAAATATAATGTGGCCATGAAAATGGAGATTAAGAGAGAATATATAAATAAGAAATATGTTAAATAAGATGGTTTGTGGATTTAGAAGGGACTTTTAATTATGCCATATATACAAATTTTAGAAGAATGCATATTAATATACATTGGATATTGCTATAATCTATAGGGGTGTGAAAGTTTTATTAGAATATAAACTACCCAAATTTACATGCTGCAGCACTATTGCATTCCTTTTCTACTGCTACTGCAAATTAAAGCCTGTTTATTGTTAGAAAAAATATCTCACATAAATTATGGCTCTAGAAGGGTGCCCTGCCTTCTGAAGCCAAAGTTTCCTGTTATATAGAGACATTTATTTGATGAATAAGTAATATTAGAACAATACCAAAAATAACAAAATGAAAACACTCAAATTTTATGATTCTATCAAGTCAAATGTTTTCATGCAGTTTGTTTCTTTCCATTCTTTTTCATATGAACGTATAATTTTTTCAATTGACACTCTAAGGATTTTCTGCATTTTTTCTGCATATTACACAATTTGTATGCTTTCATCTCCTAGTCCATAATGATCATTCTAATTGCTGCATAAAGGAAGCATTTCTTAAAACAAAAAATTTAATGCCTCTTGAATTATAGCAGTGCAGGGACAAACTTGAGTGTTTTTCCTAACCTTCCTTTGTCTGCTGACCATGTATTTTATGACTTGCATACAAGACTGTTATCACCTGATTTCCATTTGAGTAGTATCATGATAACTCAGAGCGCAAGAGGAACTAAGTTTTAGGTGACAGCTGCATCATTTAATGTCTGCTTATTGTTTCTACAGGGGAATTCTGGCCTGGGATTCAGTATTGCTGGAGGGACAGATAACCCCCACATTGGAGATGACCCTGGCATATTTATTACGAAGATTATACCAGGAGGTGCTGCAGCAGAGGATGGCAGACTCAGGTAAAGATCTGAAATGTTAGAATTATTTTGAAAGTAAATCTGCTGCATTAATGAGACACATTTGGACCTTTGGAGAATAATAATTCTACAAAAATTCTGTACTTGAAAGAGAAGGTTTCTAAAGCAAGCTTTCCATAATGATTTTGTAGATCTCTTGCTACTGCCTGAATTTCAACTAGTATTTGATTTGTATTTGTCATTGGGTACCACACTCAACCAGTGGGCCAGGCACTATGAGGAGCGGTTACAGAAATAACTTTGATTTGCATGGGGCCTTCAGTCTAGTTGAAAAGAATAATAATATGAACTAAGGAGCAAATATCATAGGGAATAGAAACAATACACTATAAGTCGTATTAGCAAATAACACAATGTTATAGACATTGTATTTATTCATGGATTTAGTAAACACTTATAGAGCTTTCTCTAGGAGCAGAGAGAGAGAGTCTGAAAAAAAAAAAAAAACATTCCTTAGGGAAATTTTAGTCTGGGTCTTAAAGGATAATTAAGATTTCACTCACCATACAAATCTGAGTGGAAACATGGAAAAAAAGCAAGTTGTCTCAGAGAAAAGAGGGAAACCAACTTGCCTTAGGTGAATACACAGGAGTTTAAGTTGGTGAAGTGCAGCCAGATGATAGAGAGTAGTAGTAGCTGCTTGTTGAGCCAGGCCATTCTCTTTAAATAACTTAAAGATAATTTGGGGAAATAAGGGTCACCCACATGGGACAATTAGTAGAAAATCATAAAATGCTATAAGATCAAACACTAGCTAAAAGGCACTATGGACTGGAAAAATTAGGAAAGATTTTTCTGGGGAGAGTAACATGTCTTAATGTCATTTCAGCACCCCTACTGTAATTTCTCTCAGGCCAAGCAATTATATATATTTAAGTGACAAAAAATTCTTGCTGAATGAATGAGTGTTTAAATAAATAAATGAATAAAGTGGAGAAGAGGAAGGAAGAAAAATTAATGCAGAGAGGGAGAATATGTAAGAGAAGAATTATTCTTGTCACTTGATAAAGATTAGAAGGAAGAATTTACTCAAGAGAGATTACTACAGTGGGAGTTTACAGTAGGGAAGAGAGAAGGTGGTAAACTCTGAATACAACCAACAAGGACAAGTTGGGATATACAACTAAGGAGCTGGTGGGAATTGAGTTATACAGCCAAGGAGCTGGTGGGAAATGGTCAGCGGATGGAAAATTACCAAAGAAAACATCAGAGATAAAGGGAATTCTGGCTCAGAGGACTTGGCAGTATTCTTGTTGAAGGCAGGGCAGGGTAATAAGCTACCAAGTGTGGAGGATAAGGAATTTGATCCGATACCAAGGGTAAGGGATTTTCACTAAACTGACTCAGCAAGATTCTTGCTAAAACTGGACTAAGTGGGCTCTGGGCCAAAGAAAGAACCCAAGGACAAAGCTTAGTTGAGAACAGGTCCCAGTGGAGTCTGAGTCAACTTTAATCAGGAGAATCTTGCCAAATACCATAGGTGAAGTCCTGTAGGTAAGAATGACTTTAGCTTGAGTGGAGCCACATTGAGGAATGTGATATAAGTAGCAGAAATGTAAGCTTCATTGCCCTTCCTCAGTCTGTTTTGTCATTAAGCATAAATGAGTTGGCTGTTTTTCTTATGAAGCATCCAAAGACACTTTTGTTCCCTGTTCAGTTGTTCTGACTCAGTGATTAGTTTTGACAGCTGCGTCTTTGCAGCTTGTAGGGGAGAATCACATTTTTTCCCCCCAGGTACATCTGCATCTTCTATAAATAAACAAATAAAGCAACACTCCCACAGGAACCATAAGTTTTTTGACAACAATGTTTAAGCTGAATTCACTAAATTAATTTCTGAGGAAAGGAATATCCATGTTAAAATGAAGGGAAATAGAAATGAATTGAAATAGATGCTGTGTAGCTTTATGAGTCGTGGTAGGAATTGTATTTGCTAACAATGGACCCTGGAGAAGCTCTATTTCCAAAGTTGAGAAATAGACGTGCTGGGAATAACTTAGAAATTGATGAGCCATAATTATCATTTTGAACCACTATCTTTACCTACAAGTAGGGAACCTCCACCCCTTACCCAAATTCTGGCCCTAAGCTTGAAATATAAAAGATTTTATGTTCATCTCGCCCTCCAATTAAGAATAAAAAGTGACATCTCTGAGAGTCCCACCATTCTTTGCTTACAAGCATAGATGGCTTTCCCTTGCCTATAGAGGCGGAGGGAAGTTTTGTGCTGGAAGCTTCATTCCAGAGTTGTAAAGAGAATAATCATAACGAGAGATAATATTTATTGAGCTTTTATTGTATAGAGCATTGTGCTAAAATAGATAAATATAGATGTGCACACACACACATATGCACAATCTCCTGTACAGTAGGTTGAAAAACTTACATTAAGTATAGATTTTCAGAATTTGGAAATTGATCTAGTTCAAGGCTTTCATTTTACAGAGGAGGATACTGATGTTTAGAGAAGTGATTTATCATGAGGTATAAATCATTTGGGGATCCTCTTTAACTAGAATCCAAATATCTTGGCTGATATAATTAATATTATATGGTATAATGAGACAGTAACATTTAACTAAGCTCAACTAAGCTTAATGTAGTGATACCAGGTTTTCAATTGCATAGCAGGAAGCAATAAAGTAAGAAACAATCTCAGTGGTAGTAGCAACGCTTTACCAAATGAAGTAGAGCCCCAGTGGCTGTCTTCACATAAGCAAAAGGCTGTAATGCAGATTGGGGAGTAGGTGAATTTGGTTACTCTGGTTAGTTAAGTGTTACTATCTCATTATACTACTCCAACTAAGCCTAAGTCTTTTCTTGGTGTGACAGGAAGACTTGTGGTAGACCAACAAGCTGTGAGAAGTACCTTTTGGACATTAGTACTTAAGGACATGGGAGCAGGACATGACGATGAGCTCTGGAATGATGTAGGTTTTAATGTTTGTGTATTGACATAATTGACCTTGGACAAATTAAACTATCTTAATCGCTGTTTTCTCATCTATGAAGTGGTAACAATAATACCTACTTCACTGAGGTGTTCTGAAATGAGATAAGCTAAGTCCTTAACTGTGCTGGGTACATAGTAGGTACTCGAAGCATTTTACCAACATTTCCCCCTTTCTTCTTACCTACTCTCTCTAGCTCCCAAGTTTTTCTCTCCTCTTGTCTCTGTTTTTTTTTCTCTATATTCCCTTTCCTCTCATTCCTTCTACCTTTCTTCCAGTCTCCTTTCACCTTCTACGTTCTTTTCTAAGCTTCCTGTTCCTATCTTTTTACGTTCTATTCTCTCTTGGTCATAACATGGAATTAAAAGTCATTTTTAAAAAAGATATACAAAAAAAAGATTCTACATTTCCATTCTCAAGTGTATGATGCAAGCAATTAAATCTATGTTCCTCTCACTTAAAAAAATAAACTTATAAACTAAACATAGTTTTCTTTTATGTAAACAAATCCTTTGGTGTTTCCTGTGGGTTAGAGACTTTGAACTTTTTAAAAAGTATATCCTTTGCATTATAAATTTCTATGATCTACTTGTGTCCTTTCAAAATCATGTTGAAACTTAATTACAAATACAATGGTATAGGAGGTGGGCCTTAGGAAGGTGATCATGTCATGAAAATGGAGTCCTCATGAATGCCTTTATAAAAGAGGCCTTGACTTTTTTAATGCCATTATAAAAGCTACCTTGTCCCTTCTGTCACATGAGGACACAGCTAGAAGTCACCACCTATGAAAAAGGAAGAAGGTCCTCACCAGACATCAAATCTCCCAGTGCCTTGAAGTAGACTTCGCATCCTCCAGAACCATAAAAAATAGGTTTTTGTTGTTTATAAGCCACTCAGTTTATTGTATTTCATTATATAGAAGTCCCAGTAGACTAAAGTGCAAATTACATTTTTGACAGTTAAATAATACAAAGATTACAGAGAAACTAAGGCCTAGAAAAGTGACATCATGAGTCTGCTCTAAGGAGAGTAGTAGTAATCTGGACTCTAAATGAGCTGATATATAAAAATCAGATCAATAATAGTAACAATGACCAACATCGTGCTTACAATGTGCCAAGTTCTTTACTGGCACATTGACGCATATAAAGTGTTAAATGACTCAATGAAACCTATACTATTATTATTCCATTTTTCATATTAGAAAGTTGAGGAACAGGGAGGTTAAATAACTTGCCTAAGTTTGTACTGCTAGTAAATATTGGAACCAGGATTTGAGGTATGTTATGTGGCATGATTGACTTTAAGAGAGGAAGAGTATACAGGTAAGCCTGGTGTAAATACATGAGCTTTTAAAAGTAGAGCACTTTTCTCTGACTGATGGCAGAAGTCAAAGAGATTTGGAAGGTATGACTTGCTTGACATACTGTTTCTGGCTTGAAAATGGAGGAAGTCATGTGAGAAAGCATGAGAGTGGCCTCTAGGATCAGAAAGAGGCCTCCAGTTGACAGCCAACAAAGAAACAAAAACTTCTGTTCTATAATCTCAAGGAACGGAATCCTGCCACAACCACATGAGCTTAGGAGGAGACTCTGTCCTCCAGATGAGAACGCATATTGACTGATACCTTTAGTTCAGCCTTGTAGGAACTTGAGCAGTAATTCTAGTGACAATATGCCAGACATCTGACATATTCAGTGAGCTAATAAACAGGTGTTGTTTCAAGTCGCTAAGTTTGTGGTAATTTTCTAGGCAGCTATAGAACACTAGTATAGTCATCATTCTAGGAATCCTGGAATCATTATGAAAAATCGTTCTGTTTTTGCTCAATTATAACCAGTATAAAGTAAGAGTGTAAGCTCGAGAAATACATAAAGTGAGAAATGACTTTCTCCCTAAGTAGACTGGACTTCAAATCAAGCTCCAGTTTCAGTGGTTGCCCCAGAGAATAGATGTAGAAGAAAGAGTATAATAATTGAAGTCAGAATACCTGGGTTTCAAGTACTGCTTTCTGGCTATGTGACTTTT